TCTCCAGCCCATGCTGTATGAGTTTAATTATCATACATCGAATACATTTTTGCTTCTAAGACTTCATATGTGACATGTACCCATCATTAAGCAGTGTAACTGGAAATAGGGATATATGTTATTTAAAAACAGCAATTCAGAAGGAAAAAATGTATTTTTAATATCAAAAATTTTTTACTGGTTTGTTGATACTGTAAACATGGAATATTATCTAAAATTTTGAGCAAATATTACCAAATATGCTGTTCAGGAAGATCTTTGGTAGCATCAACTGATTATCATTTTTTTTTAATTCTTTTTAAATTGTCAGTGGATTTTTTTTTTTTAATTGATACATGGTGCTGAAAATCAAAACCAGTGCCTCACACATGCTAGGCAAGTGCTCTGCCACTGAGCCAGAACCCCAGTCCCAGATTATCATTTCTGCCTTGGTATTTAACATTAATTTCTTTAGGAAACAGTAATCTTTCTAACTATTTTATTCATATAAATAACATGAAAATATAGAAAGTAGAATTTTGTGCTTTAATCTGAAAACTATTGTCAAGATTATTAATACTGGATAGTCTTGAAATGAGTTGTATTACTTATATAATCATAATATGATGTTCATTTTATTTGTAACTGTTTTGGATCAATTAAGTAACTTTGGCTAAAATATAAAATTGTTTTTTAAATATTTGTTATTTTCAATTTAAGGATATGTTTACTAACTGTAGTGCTTAGCTTGTTACTATCAAGCTATCAGTCTGCCCTGTTTTTGAAGAATTGGTTTTTTCTTTCGTTACTCTAGACTGCCACCCTTTTCTCCCAAGATGGGAGGAAAATTAAAAGAAAATTCTCTCTAATTAGAAGTCTTGAGAAAAGATTGTTACAAAAACCAAACTTTCAGTTTGTTTTTATACTTTAATCACCTTTTATTTCATGGTAGTGCACAGAATTAAAATTTGTAGAAAAATTTTCTACGTATAACCAACAGGTTTTATGTTTCAAAAAGTATTTACTTTTTCAAACTTACTACTCAATTTACCTTCATTCTTCCTGTATCATATAGTCCATTTTCTTGCTTTATTTATGTAATTTGCCACTTTAATAAAATTTTAACTTTGATGTTTCACTCTGTACTGCTTCATATTTTTTGTTTGTCTCATATTGAGGATTGGAATTCTCGTCTGAAATATCTACAGTTCCACTAGGAGCAGAGATTCTTAACCTCTAGTCCATATTCATACTTCAGGGTCTCATTGAAATCTTCTCTTCCAGTTACAAACCTTACATGTGCCTCTGTGGAACAGGGGGTCTTAGCTTTATTTGAATTCTCCAGCTAAAATTTGAGTCATAGGCCTAGTGAAGCAGATGGGCCTTTTTCCGACTTAAAGTGAAGATGATTTATGTTGACAGCATCAGTATATAAGTATACTGTATACGTTTATACTGTATATAAGTATACAGTATAAGTTTATATAGCTTCGCAGATTTAGGCTTGCTTTCTCCTTTCTATTTTCTTTAAAAATTTTTTATTTTTTCCTTTTTACAATTAAATTCAGGACAAAAACAATATGGTGAGTTTAAGTCCCTGCTACATGTGTGAAATGTGTTAAATTGGCATGTAGATTTGTCTTTGGTATTCTTCGTTTAGTGAATTAAATTCAGTTCTCATTTCGTATATGTCTGAATGTAGATACGTATTTCTTCCTTTAGCTATTTCAATTTGTACTTGCTTCTCTTGGCTCTTGTAGCAGATTAATAACTT